CCTCTTGTGTTGTTGGAAAACAGTGTTTGTGATGACCAGCTTGTTCTCTTGACAAAACTCTATTAGCCTTTGCCCTGTTTCATTTTGAACTCCAAGGCCAAACTTCCCTGTTGTTCCTTTTATCTCTTGACTCCCTACTTTAGCATTCCAATCCTCTAGAATGAGAAGAACATCTTTCTTTGGTGTCAGTTCTAGAAGGTGTTGTAAGTCTTCATAAAATTGGTCAGTTTCCGTCTCCTCGGTGGTTGGTGCATAAACTTGGATTACTGTGATGTTGAAAGGTCTGCCTTGGATTCGTATTGAAATCATTCTGTCATTTTTGAGATTATATCCCATTACAGCTTTTCCCACTCTTTTGTTGACTATGAGGGCTACTCCATTTCTTCTACAGGATTCTTGCCCACAATAGTGGATATGATAATCATCTGAATTGAATTCACCCATTCCCACCCATTTTAGTTCACTGACACCCAGGATGTCAATGTTTATTCTTGTCATCTCCTGTTTGACCACATTGAGCTTACCAAGGTTCATAGATCTTACATTCCAGGTTCCTATGCAGTATTTTTCTTTGCAGCATCGGACTTTCCTTTTACTTCCAGGCACATCCGCTGCTGAGCATCCTTTCGGCTTTGGCCCTAGCACTTCACTAGCTCTAGAGCTACTTGTACTTGTCCTCCGCTCTTCCTCAGTAGCATGTTGGACACCTTCCGACCTGAGGGCCCATCTTCCAGCATCATATCTTTTAGCCTTTTGTTTGTGTTCATGGGGTAACTTGGCAAAGATACTGGAATGGCTTGCCAATTCCTACTCCAGGTGGATCACGTTTAGTCAGAACTCTCCACTATGACCTGTCTGTCTTGGGTGTCCCTGCACGGCACAGCCCATAGCTTCTCTGAGTTACTCAAGGCCCTTCACCACGACAAGGCATCAATCCATGAAGGAGAAAGGGTGCATTACTCTCTAGTAAGTGTGAGTATATTGCAGTTGAATGTAGCTTTGGAGGCACCCTTGTAAGCACTTTTTCATCACCAATCAACAGGTGCACATTGGGGGACTGAGGCAGTGGTCCCATACTTGGGTTCCCAGATGTTCCTGGACTACAACTCCCAGTCGCCCTCACCAGCAGTGGCTAGGGCTTCTGGGAGCTGTAGTTCAAGAACAATTTGAGGCCCTGCACATGGGGCCTATTGCATACGGGTAAAAGCTACAGAAACATTTGTGAAGGCTTTAGTGTTGGTGTCTCTTGTTTAGAAATGAATTAGTCAGACACTTCGGTTTGTTTTGGATTGCAGCTTGAACTACAAGCAGTGTTCAATACAGTTCCTTCAAGATAGTATACATAGGTTGCAGTTCTGCATGCCCATACCTAGCTATCCCATTAAACATTGTGGAATGCAGTGTTGAGTGAGCTTGTGCTGTAAATCTATATGTGCATAAAACAGTGTAACTGCTGGAAGGGTACTTGCTTAATTATTGATGCACAGGAGATCACCTCTTCAAAAAGACATTCCTCTCTCTCTCTCTCTCTCTCTGTTGAGTGGGTGGTGTGTGTATGCATCTAAAGAGAAATTGCAGCTCTTAATTGGATGCTTTCTATTTATAGCATTTATATTAAAATAATAGTTTCCAGTATTCTCGCTGTTTAAGTTATGTCTTTTCAGTCAATGAAAAAGCTTTTAATCAATAATAATTAAGTGTTGCAGCCTTTTTGAACTCAAGTTCTGTTTACGCTTGCCAAGTGTTTTTCGTTCCTAATAACTAGTTCCAGCTCTACCCTGGTTTTCCCCCCATTAGTCATTAATTATATGGA